CAGCCAATAAAGCAGTGGGTCCCTCTAGCTGAGGGCCCCACACGGCAGTACCAGTGAATATCACACAGGACAGTCATGGGTGTTTCCAGATGTAGAGCTCACAGGTAGACTTACCAAGAGGCTCTGTTGCTCAAGGGCCTCTCTTTAGAAGACACAACAAAGACTCTGCATTAACTTTGGAATTCATGTGCTTCATGATACTTTGCTGTGAGTGGCTGGCACGCTTCCAATGCTCCCATCAGGCTTACCTTTCAAGGCGATCACCTTGGAAGCCGGATGCATGATGGCACTTTCTGCAGAGACACTCCGCCGGGTCAGGGCTGTTGGCTCACTCAGGTCAACGATGGCTATTTGAGCCTGCTCACCCACTTCCTCTCGGACACAAATAAACCTGTCAGATTCCATGGTGAGGGTGCTGAATCCAATGTTGGCGGGATTAATTCCCAGGTTTTGGAGCTGAACCAAAAAGAAGATTTGGTTCACGTCAATTAACTCCCCCCTGGCACCTCTTTCTGGACAGAAAATGGAGGAAAAGTTAGCAGAACTTTACATGAAATAAAACATTTGAGGCACTGTCTGGCATGCCCCTAACATATACAACCAAGGGGTTAAAAGTCAGTCAATCTTCCGGGGGATTTTCAAGGCAGCAGGCAGGGTGAGGATAACACCAGGTGGTGAAGAAGGCCATGCGTGGTACAGAGAGAAGATACCAGAAGGGAGAAGCCTACACAAGAACGTGATCACAGAAGGCTGCACAGACCAAACTAGGGCAAGGAGGAGGTCTCGGGGAGGTGAGGGAGGGAAAGGACGGAAGAGAAAGGGAAGGGAAGAAAACGCTAAAGCTGGTTTCTCCAAAAGGAAAGTGCTGGTGGTGTAGTGGACTGCGATCTGCATGGTCAGCAGTTCAAGACCACCAGCAGCTCCGAGGTAGAGAGACTAGGTTTTCTACTCCTGTAAACAGTTAGTCCTGGACCCCCATAGGCGGTCACTAGGAGTCAGCATTGACTCAATGGCAGTGAGTTGTTTTTGTTTTTAACAAAGAACTCAAAATTCTTGCTTAAAACATTTCCCTTCAGACCAAACTCACTGCCATCAAGTCAATGCTGACTCATGGCAACTCTCTAAGACAGAGCGGAGCTGGTCCATTGAGTTTCTGAGGCTGTCCATCTTTACAGAAGCAGACAGCTCTTCTTTCTCTCCTGGAGCAACTGGTGGGTTTGAACCACCAACCACCAGTTAGCAGGCCACTGCTCAGCCCACTGGGCCACCAGGGCTCCTACGTAAAGATTATGGTTGTCAGGTACCACTGAGTTGGGTCCAACTCAAAGTAACTCAATAGTATAGAGTAGAACTACTCCCTAGGATTTCTGAGGCTGGGAGTCATGATGGAAGCAAACTGCCGCATCACTCTCCTTTGGAGCAGCTGGTTGGTTTGGACCACCGACCTTTCTGGTAGACCAATGCTTAACTCACTGTGCCACCATCCATCATAAAATCTGCCCAAATCGTATCTAGATGAATTTCTACGTCAGTTTGGCGTCTACTGGGCAAGCCCTGAGTTCATCACAAGTGAACAGGTCTGGTGGTGTTTCTAGAGGCAGAAAAAAATGTGCCCACTTGTATAAATGGGAGTTGGGTTTTGGTCTCTAAAGACTATTTTATGCACAGTGTCTGGCCTAAATAAAGACCTGTTCATGAGGTAAGTTTCGTGGAAAAACCTTGGAAAAACACATACTGATGAAATTTCTGTTGCCCTAGAAGCAACCAGAGGGAGATGGTGGCTCTATGGTGGAATTCCTGCCTTCCATGCCAGACACTTGCGTTCAAACCCAGCCATGTGACAGTGGAGGTGTTGTGTTGCGATGATGTGAAAGGGGTTTTAGTGGCGCTTCCGGGAGAAGGAGAAAGACCTGGTGACCGACTTCTGAAAGTCGGACAAGGAAAACCCATGTGTCCTGATAGTCTGATCTCCGATAGGGACTTCCAGGACCAGACAGCGAAGGTTCACTCTATGGCGCGTTCACTCTCTTCAGGGACTGGATGCCACGGCAGCTAGCAGCAGCCACCTGACAAACCACGCTAATTCCTATAAATCAGCATGTCTCGAACTGCCAATACCAAACCAAAAACACCCCACTGCCACCCAGTAGACTTTGATGCACAGGGATCCTAGAGGATAGGGTAGGGCTGCCCCAGAGGGCTTCCCAAGGGAATTTGTCCACCTTTACGGGAGCAGATGGTCCCATATTGTCATCTTTCCCCCCCAGAGGGAATGGCGGTGGGTTCAAACCACTGTGGATTAAGCAGGCCAAGACTTAACCTCCAACACCACCAAGACTGATCATTAATTAGTATGGAAGTTAGTTTAGATTGTCAGAGCACCTTCACCTTCACCAGTTTAAGAATATATACATATTTTGGAGCTCCAGTGGTGCAATCGGTTAGCATGCGGTACTTATACATGATATTTCAAATTTTCCAATGCGCCCTCCCCTCCCCCACCAGCATAGGAGGGAACTGTGGCAATGAGGGTCCTGAGGGACTGAAGTTACTAAGCCTTCCTTAGACCTTACATGGCAGACCTTGGTCAGTTCAGGGATTGTTCATCATTCCCGGTGGATCAGACTTTCAAAAACCCCTCTCAAATGACACGACTGTAGGTTTTCTGTGTTTTGTTTCATTTTTTTCTAAACATAGTTGGGAGTGTCAACCTTCCCGGGGAGAAGCACCTGTCTCCAGAGCCACATCAGTGCCTCCCACGTGGTAGGAATGCACTGAAGAACATTTTCTGTATTTTAAAACCCATGCCTAAGACCCTATATTTATTCCTGTGAAATGTCAACTGGCTGGATTCCAGCCGGTCAGGTTCCTTTCAGATTCTAATTTTGTCATGGAACTTTTGTTAGCCCAGCTGCTGCCATCTCCTCCCTTCCCCGCCAGCCAATCTCCACGGCCATCCCCCTGGACTGGGGGCCAGCATCAGGCCTTATGCAAGAGCAGCGGAAGAAGAAGATACACGAGAGGATTAGGTGGCGAAGCAAAAAGGGAACAAACAAACAAGAAGAGCAGGAGAAAGCAATACAGTTGTTAAAAAAAACAAACAAACTCGCTGCCATCGGGTCAATGGGGACTCCTAGCAAACTCCGTGCAGGTTTCTGAGACTGGAACTGCTTATGGGAGTAGAAACCCTGTCTTTCTCCCTCAGAGCTGCTGGTGGGTTCGAACTGCTGACTATTCGGATAGCAGCCCAAAGAGTAACCACTACACTACCCGGGTCCCTTCCAAGCTGTGTTAGATGGTGTCAAGTTGGTTCTGGATGATAGGGACCTCACGTACTACAGAATGGAGTACTGCCGGTTGTGTGTCCTCCTCACTATCGTTGGTAGGTTTGAGCCCACTGTTGCAGACACTGAGCCAATTAATCTCTTTAAGGATCTTCCTCTTATGTCCTTCTCCAGGGAGTAGGCTCTCCTGATAACATGGCCAAAAGTATAGGAGATGAAGTTTCACTATCCTTGCTTCTAAGGAGCATTTTGGTTACATTTCTTCCTAATTGTTCACTCTCTGGTAGTACATGGTACTTTCAATATTTTTGGAAAACATCATATTTCAAATGTATCAATTCTTCTACCATCTTCCTTATGCACTGTCCGATGTTCACATGCTTATGAGGTGATGGAAAATACCATGGCTTGGGTCAGGCACATTTAAGCCCTCAAAGTGATCGTCTTTATAGGGGTCTTGTGTAGTAGATTTGCCCAATGCAAAACATCGTTTGATTTCTCTGACTGCTGCGTCCATGGGTGTTGACTATGGATCCAAGCTGGATGAAATCTTTGACAGTTTCCATCTTTTCCCCGTTTACCATGATGTTACATCTCCGTCCAGTTGTGAGGATTTGGGCCTTCCTCACATTGAGTTGTGATCCCTACTGAAGGCTGCAGTCTTTGATCTTCAACAGTAAGTGGGGTTGCAGGGTGTCTACAACCACTGCCCCAAGGTTATACTAATAAATCGTTGTTTTTCCACTGAGTCCCTTCCAACTTCTGGTGTCTCTAAGAGTACTGAGTACAACTGCTTCGCTGGGTTTCCAAGGTCAGGACTTTTCAGCAGCATCTGAGGGAACTTCCAAAAGATGGTGGAAAATGGAATGAAAAGTTCATGGAACTTCCCCGCTTGTTTTGCTGTGCTTGTCTTCGGAAGTGTTATGGGATGGGTTTGAACTCCCAACTTTTCAGCTGGTAGGCAAAGGTCTCACCACTCTGTACCACCCAGAAGCTAAGAAGCAGTTCTGCATCATCTGGGCATGTGCTTAAAGACACATCTTCAAACAGCCTGAAGTTATTCCAGCAAAAAGGCAGGGCAATATTGCTAGAACAATTCTCATATATACTTGTAGAGTGGTTTCTGTTAAGGAGAGGGACTTAGAGGTTGAATAGAAAGGTTTTGATTTTCCTTTTCTGCTGTCTGTATGGGCTGTTCTTCCCATGTATACGTTCAAGTTGTTCCAGAGGGATTTTGTCCGAGCTACGGAATATCAAAATAACGGAATGGGGAGAAACCTTAATGAAGTCCTCCTACAACTTGAGAACTCCACGCATTTCAACTCAAAAGGTACTGACAATCTTGCCCACTTTGGGAATTTCCAACAGCTGAGCGGATTTTATGGTGGTGATTTCATTTGCTAAAGAGGCCCTGTTCACATTCATTGAGTATTAGATCACTCACCAGCCCAGTGGGCACTTTGAAAAGACTTGTCCTCCCAGACATGGGTGAGGTAAGCTGGTTACCTTCCTAACTTTGTAACCAGACAATGATGGAAGCCTCGAGACTTTATGGTCCTTTGCCACCCATTGGACCTTGAACTGAACTCACCTTCATTTTCAGCCAGACAATACACAGATTTATAAGGGAAATAGTAATCCTAGCAGGGCACTGAACTCCTTAGAATACTCAAGCATTGGAGAGAAAGGGAGCAGGATTTGCCCAAGGACAAAGTTCAGAGGGGTTAGAAGAGGAGGAGAAGTGGAGATGGAAGACACACAGGGTGGAAGTGGGATGAGTGGTGTTGCACCAAAGGAATCACAATGAACGAGAGAAGCAGCATGTGTGTCTGAATTGTTGAAGGGAAAACTGAAGGTTTGTTCTGTAAACTTTCATCCAAGTCAAAAATCAAAAGTAACTTCAAAAGAACACAGAGGAGGAGGAGGAGGAGGAGGACTCTCAACAGTAAGTGGGGTTGTTGGTCATTATCCAATGTCTGTATCCAAGATGAGGATCCTGTCAGCCAACGGGCAAAACTCTAACACCAGAAAGAAAGTGTCGTACAGGCCATCTTAGGACACTTCAGGAGCCTACGTCATCGTCATCGGTCTTGATGTACCAAAAATGGTTTCCAAGACAGCTAAGCAAAGGCTTCATAACCAAATACCATGTCACTTACCACAGGGACTCCCTAGAACCCTCTCAGAAAGTCCAGACAAGGGACGCTTGCTCCTGAGGAATTGTTTGCAGTTCAACTCCATCTACCTTCTGCCCTTATAATAAAAAGTTTCACACATCAGACTGGGGAGAAACTCCCCACCCCTCACGCATATGCATTTAATTTCAGTGAAACTCTGGCAGGGGTATCTGTCAAAAGCTCCAGACCTTTTGCAAATGCAGTTTGGGTTCCTCTGCTTATGATCAAACCCTACTCAACCCTACCCACTGCCAGTGAGTGAATTCCA